AACATTTTGTTTTATGAACTTACAATTCCAATTTGAGAAGATCTGTACTCAGATTCCCAATCCGTTAGTTTCTATGATCCTCAACTATTACATACTATAACATATTAAAATTTGGTGATAATCCAACGGTTGGATCGTCGATTCATATTTTGACCTATTCACATATCATAGGGAATTTAGGTTCAACGATCAACCCGTATCATACAAAGATCAAAACTGAATTTAAGGCATCAATTTTAGCCTAAAAATGGTATCTACGGCCCACTAGCCATGCGTCGCCGCACGCGCCACCGCGGGTGGCGGGTGGTGGTCGGTCGCCCCGGTTCGTCGGAAAATTCAAATATTTCTAAAAATTCTCAAAAATTGCAAAAATGAAGATCTCAAAGAGTAGAGCAAACGTTATACCTGCGGCCAAGGTCAATTTGGCCTGGAAGAGCCCCAATTTTGCTAAAACCTGTCGGAAACCTAGTTTTGGGTGTCCTCAATTCGACTCCATAGCAACTCCAACGCCTCGACCGTTGCCTGGGCTTTGTTCCTGGGTTCTAGATGAGTGTTCCAATGATGGTAATTGAAGGGGATGGTTTCACAATTGATGGATTTTGGGCAAGGTCTCCCGCGGCACCCATCACCATTTTTGTACTAAAATACTATCAATTTCCCTCTAATTTTTGGTGGAAGAAGAAAAGAAAGGGCCAAGGTGATGATTGGAAGTGGTTCATAGGTCAATTCGTCGGAAAATTGGACGAGAAATGGCGAGAAGCCGCCGGTTTGAAGACATGGGTTGCACGGGTCAAGGAAGACCCGTTTCTCCCTTTCTCCCCGTTCTTCACTCTCCCTCCTTTTCCTCCTTTCTTCTCCCTCTGATTGGTCCCCCACTTTTTCTTCTTTCTGGTTGGCCCAACTCCTTCCTCTCTCATGTTTCGATTGGGCAGCTCTGCCCAGTTCTTTCTCCTCTCCCGTTTTCCCGTTCTTCTTTTCTCTTTTTCCAACTCTTTTAAATCACTAAAATGATAAATAAAATAGATACCTTAGAAAAATATAAATATTATATATATATATAGTGACCAAACCAAAAGTACTTTAAGAAAACGCTAATGGATTAATTCATACATCTTGCTATACGTTGATCAACGAAAGTCAAGACTCTCGCCTCTAAAGGCATTTTCGTAAAATCACACATTTAAAATTTATTAAAATGTAAAATTTGGGACGGGTTGTCACACTTACTTTACTTCCAACATCCTCATTCTTAATCATATCATTCTTAATTCTAATCACACTTACTTTACTTCCAACATCCTCATTCTTAATTCTATCTAGCACGCAACATTATGCATATAAATAATAAAGCTGCCCAACAAATTTTATGAGTTCATAAATAATATTGGTAATTATTATAATTTGAGTAAAAACTAACCTTTCTCATATTTATTTTTCCTTTCATACTGAAAGGGGAAAACTAATCAACTAACAAAAATAAAATGAGATAATAAATGCTTTTCTTTTTCTTGGGTTTCTTGATAAGTAAGAATATATAACTACCAAGAAATTCATGTTACTATACTTATGTCCATGTTATAAGAAATTAAAAAGATGTAGTTGTGAGTTATAACTTGCTTTATGTTTACAAAGATACTTTTACAAACAAGTTGTAACTTAACAAAAGTTACAACTGACCGCAATTTAGTATTAAAATCACTGCAACCATATATCATTTTTGCATATCCATGAGTTAAACCTGAAAACTCCTCCAATCAATCGAAGACCTCTAAACCAACTAATCACGTGTTTGGGGAATCCAACTTTCAAGACTTAGCTACAACACATGCATATCCAATCAACATCTAACGACTAAGTATGTTATAATAAAGAGAATATCACATCTAACTGTGTTTATTTGTAAAATAACAAAAATTCATTAAATAAATACGTGTATCGTAACGTGTCTCTTCAATATAGTGATCGAGGAAAAGCTTCGCAGTTGCTTTTAAAGATTGCCTATTCTTTTCAGCACCATTAGCCATTTTTTCCCTACCACTTAAGATTGCCCTGCCGTACTAGGACTAGAAAGATTGGGACATTCCACAAGAATCAATTAAACAGTACAAACAAGATTTACTCCGGCGTTCCCACGTTTTCTACCACTACCACATTATTTCAGCTTCCACCTTAATTTCTTTAAAGCAAAGGGTAAATTGTAGTTATGATCTCTTAATTTTAACTCAATTAGAGTAATGATCTCTTAACTAAAAATTCATTACCATTAGTCCATCAACTCATCAAAACGTGTAGATATGGTCCATTAACTAAAAATTCATTATCATTGGTCCCTCAACTTTAATTCAACTGGAGAAATGATCTATTAACTTTAACTCAATTGTAGCAATGGTCATTCCAACATAACTCGTTCAAACAAAATTTTTGACGTAGTTGACGAAAAAGACCATAATTACACACTTTGATGAGCTGAGGGATCCTAATTATATAAATGGTTATTTCAACATAACTTATTTTGACAAAATTTTGACGAAAATGATGAAAATGACTATAACTACACATTTTGATAAGTTGAGGAACCAATGGTAATAAATTTTTAGTTAAGGGATCATTGCTCTAATTTGATTAAAGTCGAAGGATCATTTATTCAATTTAATTAAAATTAAAGAACCATTGTTACAATTTGTTCTAAAGCAAATAAGGATAAAATATCTCCCCCAACAATCATTCAATGGTCGTACTTACAAACAACAATCATTCAAGCCCTGCAACTGCCAGCACGATGAAAAATTAATGTATAGTACTTAAATATGATCATTTAATATAAAGGTAAACTAATGAAAAAAAATTGAAATTTTTTAGTTTTAACGATAAAGACAAAATAAAAGGTAAAGTAAATAGTATCATGATTGACTTGTTAGTGTAAAAATATAATTTTTCGTTAAAATGAACTGTACCAGGAACTTTTCGTTAAAGTTTCCTTAATATAATCAGTTGAAGTGGTATAACATGTGAAGTTAAGGCCGGTCTTGAGGTAGCTTCAGTAGGCGCCGGTCTAAGGACGCTACTTCAGAGGCTCCTAATTATATATATACATATACATATATATATATATTTATTTATACCTTTTTCCATGGTTCAAATTTAATAAAAATATTTTTAAAAATATAGGTAATAATATAATTTTCCACATTTTTAAAACTTTTTTTCTTTTTTCTCCCCCACATATAAGTGGAACTATAGTTTTATACGTATACGGAAATTACTGTCCTCTTTACTCTAGCATTTTCCTTAGCCATTAGATGCAATTCCTGTAATCCAACCATTCATTTATTTACTGAACGTAATAAGTAACATTGTAACAATAAACAATAGAAAATTGATTGGAATTTGGCGTATTGGGTAGCACCCTTCTTTCGATATTAAGTTTTAAGGATATTTGATGTAGACATAGACTTTTTTATGTATTTGGATTAAAAAAAAATTATAAATATTAATGTACAAAGGGTCAAGAGTAAAAGAACTCTAGGCTTCACTTCGAAGGTTCGTTTAGGACTCCCAAATTCTTAAGGGCGGCCATGTGTGAAGTGGCTATAGAATGGTGGATTTAATGTATATGGTATTGAAATACGATTATCTAATTGAACTAATTTAAGTGCTTAAAGATGTGAATTGACTATAGAACGGTGGATTTATGCGGTAAGCTATAGTATTCGTGTATCAATAAATATACACGGTCTTATATAACACATGAACGACTACACAACGTGATTGTGCTCCACTACCCCGAAAAAGAAACCCTCTTTGTCTTACATCTTTCTATCTTTTCCCTTTTCATGTGCAGTCCAAAGCATCATACTTTAGTACAACCAAATTCCAAACAGAGCAGACACTATTTGAGAATCTGCACCAAATATGAAACCAAAGACATGCAACAAAGGCAGTTCAAGTGGAAAATTACAATACAAGAAAAGGAAGCGTGTACATTATTGGCTCATAATAAAAGTGAATTGAAACCTGTCTTTCTCATCAAGTTTCATTATCTTGTTCTTCAACGTGGTGGATATGAGTTTAGAGCCCTCTCATCACTCATTCAACACCCTTTTTATCTGTGCACCACTTTAGGGCTATCAACATAAAAGTAAACGACAGAAAACCGAAGCTGTTATGGTACTCTAAAATAATCAACTTGCATTGCTTTTGTTTTCACTTTTTACATTAAAGAGAATTGTGGTATCACTACGCTCAAGCGCCAGCAACAAAGCTCAACTCAAATCCAATTGTAATTGACAAAGAAGTACGTGTTTGAATCCCTCTTTAAAAAGTAAAGTAATTTAAAATATTGCATTGCTGAAAAGAAAAAAAAAACCAAATGTTATATTCAAGGTAATTCATTGTATTTCGTTCTACCAAATTGTTTGTTGCTTACTTTTAATTAGTTACCAAAAAAATGAATGACTCATCCATTTTTTATGAGAATAAAACTTACGGTGCAATATAAACGACTAAAATTGCAAATTCATGGAAAATTCTCAAAGATGGCCAACCTTCCATTGACAAATTTGGATCCATCCCAATCCATATGATGTAAGAAATTAAGAAATTAAAGGTTAAGGTTAGAAAGCAGACGAAACGTAACCAGATTTGTTAAGGTAAGTATGATTTATCTTTGTACCGATCAAAAGTTCGAATATTCTTTTTATAGCTTAGGTTAAAATAAAGTATAATATCGTAGTTTCAAAGAAAAGGTTAAGGTTAGATATGTCACTATCTTAACATTACAACGAAAAAAAAAACAGCTATAAGTCGGATTTAAAAAAAAAACTTATTTTTTATGGACAATACTTGGGTACTCACTGGAGAGTACGGAATTTACTAACTATCTTACATGGCCCACTACAATTTTAACACATGTCAAATGAGTTTTACCCAAAACTTTTATTATCTTCGTAACCAAACACCACCCATCTTCATCCTCCCTTCTTCTTGTAGACAAACCCTTCCTCCCTTCTCCTGCAATCCCGACCCTCACTTCCCCGGCGAGAACACCCTTGTCTTATCCGGTGTGCCGACCCTAAAATATCTCACTTTCCGGTGAGCCCACCCCCGATTACTCTCTTCTCAGGCGAGCCAATCCCCAAACCCTCTCTTCATCGGTTAGCTCAACCAAATCCATAATTTTCCCGGCTATCCCAACTCCACCCATCTCTCCTCCGGTGACCTCAACTACCCTTACTCCTCTGTTCGCCGGCGAGTCCACCGTCATCCCTCTTTTTGACGGCAACCCCACCTGGTCCTCTTCGACAATGATCCCACTCCATTCCTTTCGATGGGGTTGGTGTTGGGGTGTACAGAGAAGAGCAAAGGCTTGAGGGTGAGGAGAAGATAGGTGTTTGGTTACAAGGATAACAAATGTTTGGGGAATTTTAGATTAGACAGGTGGACTTTTTTCATTGGGCTACATTATAAATTCAGTAAATTGGGTACTCTCCAGTGAGTACCCAAGTATTGTCCTTTTTTTATTACTTTGAAGCGTTTCGCACTCGGAACATAACAAAGTATTTTTCTCGTTTCTTTGCTTACGTATAAACCGAGTTTCTTTATTTCTATGAAGACTCCGCAGGGTAAGAATTCCCATACAGAGATCCAAGTGGGACATTATTTTTTTCATCTCAGTCAAGTCAACTCTTTGAAAATATCCAAGTGTGCCGGTGATATTAATTTCGTTCTTTCCTCCCAGAAAGTTGAGAGTTTCTTTTTTTCTTCTTCCGTGACATACGAGCTAGCTCATCTCTGTTTGGAAATGGCGGGCGCTTCTTTCGCACCGGCCGGCGTGGCCAAGGAGAGAGCAGAGCAGTACCAAGGGAGGCTAACCCTTTATGTCATCGTTGCCTGCATAGTTGCCGCCGTTGGCGGCTCGCTTTTCGGTTATGATATCGGAATTTCAGGTAACTTTGCACATTTTTGTTGGCTGGCTCTTTGGTCTTGGACTTTTTTCAGGCTTTGATGACGTGATCTACCAAAGTAATTCTCCGTATGAAAGGGGAATGGTGTCACGAAAGCAAAGTTAATGGTGAAAAGTTCAGCTTTATTAGATGCTATCATAAATTCTGCAAAAATCTTGACTGCAACAGCCAACAGGTGTTTCAAGAATTCTTGCTTCTCTTTCCTCACATGTGAGGAGAGAGAGAGAGAGAGAGAGAGGCACAAGTAGATATACAATTTGTTGCACTTAAGTTTCTCTTCTAAAAATTTACCTACATCGGAACGACACTCTGGTGATGTCGTTAGTCAACCACGCTTGTTATATGAGGTTTTAACTTTTTCATCTAAGGTTTTAACTTTTTCATCTAGCAATGCATGATTGATTTGGGATACTGCAACTGTGACTACAGGGAATTCTTCTCCTCAATTCTTTGGTTGAGAAGAGAGAGATACAAGTTAGAACATGCAAAAAGTGAGGTAATGGAATCACAGCAGGAAAATGATGAACAACTTAATCACCATTTGAAACTAGTAAAAATCAGAAAACAAATTGAATGATTTGAGAGCCTGTTTTGCATTAGAGAAAGGGTTGAAATCTTTCCTACAAACATCTAGTTACAAATTTTCCTGATTTCTTGCTACTGTTTGTTCTAATATAATTTAATCCACTCGGGAACTTCGAGTTTAGAATGCGTGGGTAGAAACTCCGACATCCTATCCACTCGGGTTCGAAACTATTGATTGTTTTATACACGATTGAGTGGTCTTTTTCTTAACAATTTCAGCACAGAAGATTTCGACCCTTAATCTGTCTCGTTTTCAGTATATAACCCAGCTTCTAAATGTTGGTTTAACTGTAATTAGGCGGGGTTACGTCAATGGATGGATTTCTTAAGAAATTCTTCAAGACAGTGTACAAGAACAAAACGCATGCCCGGGAAAACAACTACTGCAAGTATGATAACCAGGGTCTTGCAGCGTTTACCTCTTCGCTGTACCTTGCGGGTTTAGTTGCATCTTTAGTGGCTTCTCCGGTCACAAGAAATTATGGACGCCGAGGAAGTATAATCTGTGGCGGAATCAGTTTCCTCGTTGGAGCAACTCTAAACGCTTCAGCAGCGAATTTGGCCATGCTTATCTTAGGTCGGATCATGCTTGGTGTTGGTATCGGATTTGGAAATCAGGTAACTAATTCACAGAAGAAGCAATGACTTATTTCTGGCAGGAAAATGTTCAAATAAAACTGATTTCTTCTAACTCCTTGTTTGTCTTGAAGGCTATTCCGCTATATCTATCAGAAATGGCGCCAACGCATCTTCGAGGAGCCTTAAACATGATGTTTCAGTTAGCAACTACGCTTGGGATCTTCACGGCAAACATGGTAAACTACGGAACTCAAAAGCTCGAACCATGGGGGTGGAGGCTCTCGCTAGGGCTGGCTCTAGTGCCGGCTGCAGTAATGACAGTTGGAGGAATATGTCTGCCCGAGACACCAAATAGCTTGATTGAACGAGGATGTAAAGACGAAGGAAGAAAAATTTTGGAGAGAATCAGAGGAACCAAAAACGTCAGTGCAGAGTTCCAGGACATGTTGGATGCAAGTGAGTTTGCCAGTGCAATAAAGCACCCGTTCAGAAACGTCCTCGAGCGAAGGAACAGGCCTCAGCTCGTTATGGCAATCTTCATGCCGACATTCCAGATCCTCACGGGGATAAATTCGATTCTGTTCTACGCTCCCGTGTTGTTTCAAAGTATGGGGTTCGGGGGAAATGCTGCTTTGTACTCATCTGCTTTAACCGGAGCGGTTCTTGTTACGTCTACACTGCTATCTATCGCAGCAGTTGACAAGCTGGGACGAAGAGTTCTGCTCATTACTGGTGGAATACAAATGATTGTATGCCAGGTAAACCTCATTAGAATGCAATTAGAAACAACTAATTGAATCCATAAAATGCTTTTTAAACGCTTAATACTCTCCCCTCGAATGCAAAACAGGTCATAGTCGCAGTAATCTTGGGGACCAAGTTAGGGGACAATCAAGAACTATCTAAAGGATTCTCAGTACTGGTGGTGGCGGTGATTTGCCTCTTCGTGATAGCATTCGGATATTCATGGGGTCCCCTCGGCTGGACAGTGCCAAGCGAGATATTCCCGCTAGAAACTCGATCAGCTGGACAAAGCATTACGGTGTCAGTGAACCTTCTGTTCACTTTCATCATCGCGCAGTCGTTTCTCTCCCTCCTGTGCGCGCTCAAATTCGGTATCTTTCTCTTCTTTGCGGGGTGGATTACTATCATGACCGTGTTTGTTTACCTGTTCCTGCCCGAAACCAAGGGAATTCCGATCGAAGAGATGATACTGATGTGGAGAAAGCACTGGTTCTGGAAGAGGATAATGCCTGAAGAATACCTTGAAGCTGATGACTCTGTTGGTGTTAGGCAAAACAATTCAACAGTTTAACATGTATTAAAGAGTATAGTGGATGTCAATCAAGCAGATGACCTTTACTACAATACAGTTCCAAAATATATTGAGCAGAGTAGCCAACTGGCCTATTTTCCATAAATCAATCTATGTTATCCACACGTTTCTTTTATCATTCTGAACACACTTTTGTTATTTTTGTTTATTGATTTTTCTTTAATTTATTCAATTAAGTGACTAGAAATATAGATAATCAATAAGTAAACACAAATAAATAGCATAAATCAATCAGAATGGAAAACTCCAAATTAGAATAAAATTAGGTCGATTATGCTTTATTTCTAATGTACATGGCATAAGATAATTGGTGAGGTGTGTTGGCAAAATATACAAGCAAATATTGTATTTCATTAGAGTGGATTATTAGGTGAGGTTTTAGTTTGGGAGTTAATATTACGTGTACCTTTTTTGGCATCCCTCATCACTGGTAACCTGGAGAACTGACTCATATGTCAGTTTCAGTTTGGCATCCCTCATCACGGGTCAACTGGTCAACTGGTCAACATGGAGAACTGACTACTCATATGTCAGTTTTAGTTTGGCATCCCTCATCACTGGTCAACTGGTCAACTGGTCTCATATGTCAGTTTTAGTTTGGCATATCTCATCACTGGTCAACTGGTCAACCTGGAGAACTGACCACTCATATGTCAGTTCCGAGTCTTGAGTAACCAAAAATCCGCCCACTACCGACGGATAGTTTTTGCAGGCCAATTGATACGCGCAAAACATGTAGACAACCAGTTACTCACATACTGCGGAATGTAAAACAGCCGGTCGATATGCCTATAAGAGCAACTTACATGAAACAAATTGAAACAAATTCACCGTTACATAACATTACAATCTAAAAATATATTACATGTGCAGTAGCTAATTCAGGATTTGAACTTGGGGTCCCAATGTTAAAGGTACAAATTTTTTATTGCACTAAGTACGCAAACAAATTTCAATTTATTCACAGAGCTATTTTATCGAACACTTACTAAACTTGTTGCCTGCTGAACAATGTTGTGAATATATTGACCTTAGCCGAAGCAATCTGATAAGTGCTATTAAGAGCATTTGTAGTTAGGTTAACACAACTTGTCAAATGCTAATATGTCTAGTAAGCATTACATTATACTTAGGGCTGGTTTGATATTGCTGTGCTTTGAAAAAAAACTGCTGTGAGAATAAGCGGCTGTGCTGTGAGAATAAGCGGCTGTGAAATAAATCAGCAGAGTGTTTGGTAAACTTTTTTGTAAAAGTGCTTTTGGAAAATAAAGCAGTCTGATAGTGGGTCTTTTCATTGAAGGAGCACTCTAGTTCTGTGTTCTTTGAAAAAAAGCCAGTTTTCCAAAGCTACAAATGGCAGCTTCAGTTTTTTCCTTTGATTTCAGCTTATTCTCACAGCAGCTTCCAAAATAAGCCCTTTTTTTTTAGTTTACCAAACACCAAAAACACTCCCAGCTTTTTTGCATAGGAGTTTTTTTAAAATAACCTCAACCCCAAACTGGGGCTTAGTAGGCGTAAAAGAGAAGTAGTAGGCGTAAAAGAGAAGTACCAAACATAGAAGGTCCGAGAAAACTTAACGTGCTTGTTTCTCTGCGTTTACATAGACCTAGAAAAAACTTAAACATAACAATGTATTATTGGACAAAAGTGCAGTTAACCTATCGATCACTTTTCGCATATCCCGAAACAATTTCCATATAATAGTGAATAGTGAATACAACTTTTAGACAGAGAGACTCATACTCTATCTCCCTTAAGCTTCTTTCTTCCAACCTCGTAAACATTTCTTGCATGCCAAGTAAAATATACAAAGCGCCAAACACCCAAACTATCCTACTAATCTTCTTCCTTCGACTTGCAGAAACCCTAGCAACATAAGCTCTAATCATATCGTCATTTGCTCGCACTCAATCGACTTTCCTCTTGAAAAAATAAAGGAAGCAAATTGGGACTAAACGAACAACCATTACCAACTAATCGAAAAAACCTTCAACCATCTCGGAATTTCGGATTCATTCAACTTTCGATCAAACGATTCAATCGCCGCTGCCAAATTGCAAAGCCGGAGCTTTTCTTGTTTCGATTCTTCAGAACGCCTGGCGCTCACACCAAATCGAGTCGCAGCAGCCTGCGGAGATCGCTGGTGGCGGTTCCGTTCCTTCCCAAAAATCTAGGCAGTGGCACCGAGCTCGGAGGCGGAGACGCGCAGAAAGCGCTCGATCCGGCGTAAATCGCATCCATAACTTTGAACTCCGCAGCCTTAATCTGCTTCTGCACGGTCTCCGGGTCGGGTCCCAAACGGTCCGTGGATCCCAAAACCAAATCCGGATCGTTTTCCTTCATCGCCTTCGGCTTGCGATCATCGCGGGCAGCAACTCCGAGCCCTCGGTTATTCTTCTCTGGGTTCAAATCCTCGCCGCGTCTCAGGATCTTGACCTGTCCAATCACCAGGTTTTTCCCCGGCGCCTTCGCAACCGCGGCGCGATCAGAGCACCAATCGCGAGGCCGTTCGTGTTGATTGGACTGAAGCCCCATCGGACTCCTCTTCCGGCGGCGAGATTGATGAATATTGGCGGTGGAGACATGGTTGGGGGTGGAATTAGGGTTAGGGTTAGAGAAATTGGAGCTCCTTCGTGATCCGGAGCGGGGGGAGAGGGTTAGGGTTAGGGCTTCGTGGCGGAAGCGACCTCGGAGGCAATCCTGCGATCGGAGAATCGCCGTCCTCATTTTTTTCCCTCGGAAGAAGAAAGAGAAGAAAAACAAAATTGCGAAAACAAAAGAAAAATCGATTAAATTTCTAAATTTCTGAAAATTTTGTTGTCTGATAAGAAATGCTATATTTTGCAAAGCACGCGTGAGCGTGTATTTATTTTGGAATGTGCTATCCATACACCTTATTTTACTTCTCATACACTCCTTGATAATTTCTGTCCGTTGATATTCTTCAATTCATCAGATCCAACAGCCGAAAATTAAAAAGGTAGGTGAGAAGTAAAATGAGGTGTGTGGATATCACACCTCTTTATTTTATAGAGAGGTACTCACGTGACGTCGCGTGAGGTTTGGAACCGTCTGAGGCGCGTGGGGGCGGGGTTAAGATTTTGACCGACTTGGTTTTGCAGTTCCATCCGCGGTTGAATTACGGTATTGCCTTGGTTTTCCACATATTTACGAAGTCAACCTTGGTCTTCGCTGGCGCTGGTACGCTGGTAATTTTGGGTTAAGAGAGGAGTAATGATGTGTGGCTCGACGCTTTAGTTGCCGTGAAGCGGACTGAAAACCACGTGTCAAAAAGTGAATGGGTGGAGTGGTCGGTCTTATCGACACATGTTGACCGGGGCGACTGAGTTTCCGTCTGGGCGGTTTTACACCGAACCACCTTTTCGTGGAATCCTCTTCAGATCTCTTCCATTAATCATTTTTATCAAATAATTTGGGTCATGAAATTTAATTCAATTATTAAAGTTATTATAAATTTTAAAGTAGACCGATATTTTTAGCCGTTGGATCAAATTTCAAGGATCCGGATTGTTTGATGAGAAGCATTAGGTAGAAGGGATCCACGACCTACGGAACACAGGGGACAGTGGATCCGGACTCCGGTGAGTGGGCTTTGGGTCTGTATGGGCTAGCCAGATCATTGACCCATCAATAAATTGGACTGGATCTGCGAGTGGCCGCTTCTAAACGCAGCGTTTCACAGAACCCTTTTAAGTTGTGGGTTACGTGGCACACTTCCATTCCTCTATTTCCTATTGATTGACGGCCCAGATTTGGTGCTAAAAAACAAAGATCTTGTCCCCTTTTCTTCAGCCTCCATCGCCGTGTCTCCTCCGTCTGGTTTCTCTCTAATCTTCGCACTCCCCTAAAATACAGTCGAAGGTACTGCGCAGCTCTCTCAAATCTTTGTAATTTCTCTTTCGATTTCAAATCTTGGTTGCCGTCGTTTGAGTTGTTAGATTTCGATTGATGGGTTCTATTTTTTTTAATTTTTTTTTATTAATTTCTTGGTTTTCTTCCTGTAAATTTGTGATAATCTACTTCTTGTTATCTCACTGCATCTGGGTCGGTCCAGATTGATGAACAAAGTTGAAATTTCATTACTTTTAGTGTTTACAGGTGAAAGAAAATCCCGAAGAAATGCCGCTGTACGATTGTATGCTGCTGCTGAAACCCCATGTGAGGAAGGAGTCTCTGATGGACTTGGTCGCTCGAGTGAGCAAACACGTTTACAGAAGAAATGGAGTTATTACTGACATGAAGTCATTCGGCACTGTTCAGCTGGGTTATGGTATTAAAAAGCTTGATGGAAGGTATTATCAGGTGGGTTTTTGGTGTTTCTGCAACCTTACAGTGCATTTGAGTTATTACAGGTTGTAGTATTCGTCGTCATTGCCTTCGTTTTATTTGTGCAATGAGAGCGTGTTGTTGTGTAACTTGTTGCGTTTGCGGATGTTTCCTAGTTGAACTTGTTAATGCCACATTTTCGATAAGTTTAGGGACAACCTGATGCTGCAGTTTCCCATTTTCTTTGTTGATACGTAATGAAAAATTGTACGTGAAATTTCCTTAAGCTTTTTTTCTTTCTTTTTTTTATAATATTAATATGGAGGTTCAAGAAATGACAATTAGTGGCCAAAGCAGGGATATTTTCATAGGCTCGAACTAGGATTTTGAATTGGGTTAAAGAAAATGCAGCTCTATCTGTTTATCTTAAGAATTTGAGTTAGTGGATTTGGTATTTAAGGTTGGAACTTCTTGGGGATGGCAATAGCTTGCCTCAGAATTCTCAGGATGCTTACTTTGAACTATCATAGGTTGTAGATTATGTCACACCCTCAGTAACAGTAAGGGACGATGTGGATTTGGGTAAGATATCTGAATTTGGATTTCTTTTCTATCTTAGCAAAACGGATGATTTTCTGTCCAAGCACTGAACTTGGAAAAAATGACAACGACAGAAAAAAGATTGTCATACTAACACAGTGTTAGAGTGCAACGGTATCTTTACTATTTGATAGTTCTTTAGACATTTTATCATCCAAAGAGCGATAGTTTTCACTGTCTTAGCACTCTTTAACATCTCCATAAGAGAGTGATATCCCTAAATTGAATTTTAAAATGCCTTCCTCCTATATGTCATCCTTGAAGGTTTTGGAGCATCTGTTGGAGATGCTTGTGCCTTGTTGAGAGGGGTTTCATTTGTCTTACTTTTCAGAATAAAGATTGGGATAAGAATTTAAAGAATCCAGTCACAAACACAAAGGAAAGGATTTTTTTTTTTTATACCTATTGTTGGCTTGCGGATCATCGTATGGATCTGAGAAACAGATTATTGTACAGTTTCTTAGAATTTCAACGAAGAGTTGCCTTTTATCTTTAAGGATGAGGGTGATCTCCTTTGGTTGATTATTGGGTTTCCAGGAACTTTTTCTTCTTGGGTGGAATTGGAGATTCCACCCGATTTATTCTTGGAATATTCTAAAACCTTTGAGAGCTTTTGACCATCTTCTTCGTTGGTTTTTCTGACTGAATTCAAATACATTATCTTCTGATGTTGACCGGTTATGATTTTAATTATAACTCAAAGTTTCCATATGGTATAGGGTCAACTAATGCAAATGACGATGATGTCTACGCCCAACATCAACAAGGAGCTGCACTACTTGAACAAGGAAGATCGGTTGCTGCGCTGGCTGTTGGTTAACACCGAGAAACAAAGTATGGACAGGAATTTCTTAGTGAAGAGGATTCGAAAAGTGAATTTAATAAGCTTCAGCGGAGCAGCATATACGGTATGAATGAAGATGAGGACGAGGACGAGGATGATGATGACGATGACGAGGAATACGATGTGGAACAAGAAGAAAAACGTACCTGAAGGGCAGTGGAATATGTCAGGCATGGTCTGTTAGTATTTTGTTGGAGTTCCTGATTTACGATTGTCATAAGGTATGTTAGCAGTAAGCCCTATGAGGGTAACTTAGCTTATCAATGTACTAGATGTAGCGAGCTTTTAGTTTTGATCGGGGTGCTTGCTGCACCTAAAATTTTTTATATTCTCTCAATCGAAAACATCTTGAGTATCTTCTGAGAGGTAAAAGGATCAACGTAGTAGTATAATTTTCTTTGTTTCTTTCGATTACACATGTGTTTGGTTTTTGTAGAGTAGTTGTAGGAGGAATAGTTGGTTTTCTTGAACTAGAAGGAACCGTGCTCGGAACTTCCTTCTTCGATTCCAACCCTGTCGTCGGGTGGAGAGAGCTGCCTAATGAGTAATGACTATAAATCTGCCAGGCAAAAAGGGGCAGGGCTTGTTCTCAATATTAAACTAACGTGCCTTGCATTAACCAAACGAGGAAGGAAGCATGCCATGCATTGAAAAACAATAAAAACGGTATCCTTTACATTTTACCCGCTGGATGTCTTTTTGCATTTAAGAAGGGCACGGCGCATTGAGAAAATCTCATTTCTACTTCTTTTTTGTTTTAGTTGTGATCTTATTTGTTGACATGGTTGATGGTGTTAAGGTGTACCAACGTCACTTACGATTGTCCCGCTGTTAGGACTTTCCTTTTTAACTTATTGCATTCTGAATTTAAGAAATCTTACAATAATCGAAACTTTAAAAGTTCAATTTGTATCATAATAATATATCTAGTTTGTTTATAGGACCAAAATTTATTTGATTCTAATTTTTTATTAGTAAATATATTTAACAGAAAAGGGTTTATGCACATCACATGCACTCGATTCCATCAGGAATTTTGGCACATGACAACCATTTAAAACAAGTAATTAGCTACAAAATAAAAGGTACCTTTCCGTGATGGTTGAAATTACTTATCAATCGTCCTTTGCAAAGGCTTTAGTTTAGCAACATAATTCTCGAAAATTGACGGCGACAGACGGACTAGAGAACCGTCAAAATCGAAGCTTGCACAAGTAGGGGTGGGCAAACAAACCGAAAAACCAACCAAACCAAATCGTTTGTGTTAGTTTTTTTTTTTTTTTTTTTTTTTTTTAAATTCAGTATAGTTCGATTGTGGTTCAAAATTTAGGCAAACTGCATCATGATTTGGACCCAAAACCGAACCAATCCAATCTGTATTCACTATCACTACTTTGATATCACCTTGTAATTCCACATAATATGATAAATGATATAAACGCTAAGTATATTATTATAAATAATATTATTACTCTAACTAAACTAAAAAATCAAAGTAAAGTTTTAACTCGAAATTAAACAAAAAAAAATTTTAACTTGTAACACAGTGAGCTGAATAAAAATATTTATGCACTAAAGCAAGGGTTGTATATACCAAAACTATGACACGCGCTAACGCAAATAAGGTTTTTGTTCATTATAGTTGTAGAATGGGTAAATATATTTTAGGCTAATGCTATGAAGAACAAATTTTTAAAACTAAATTTGCAAACTAAATAATATGGTTGTTGATAATTAAATTATTAGTTAAGCGTTGATTAATGTCCTTAATTCTTATTGATGACACATAATTTTGCATACAAATTTATTTTAAATTTTGACTCCCCAACCTTATCTTATATTTTATATTAAAAGATAAGAAGCAATAAAATAAATTATATCGAAAAAAAATTATTGAAAAAGAAAAGAAGGGGATGGAATGGAACTGCTATAAATGCAGATTACAAATAAAATATTTTAAAATTAAAAACAAATAAAATAACAGTACCTCGTAAAAATGGAATTAGATTTGGTGGAGGTAAGCAAGTCCGCGTGCTGCAAATTCTGCATGCTGACGCAACATGAACCAGAGCGGGACCCACAGAACCAACAACGCCAACGGTTATATTTAATTTTAGAGCAAGGAGGACGAGGGAAAGAAAATGTCACACCGAATTTCCCGCCGGCCGGTGGCTAATTTGTAAGCAAAAATTAAGCACAAAAAATAAATAGAAATTTAAAGATAGCAAATACAGAATTGCAGAAATCAGCGGGAGTGCGTGATCGAATCGATCATCGGTTCATCACCTCCCCTCCCTCTCTCTCTCCTCCATGATATCTCTCTCCCTCCTCTGCCTCCTCTCCCGATCGTTTCCGAGAGAGAACGATCCCACGCAGCTAGCTCCCAATCAGAGAAGCTAGCTGAGCTATAATTCCCCCACCCTTCCCTCCTACCTGGCTTTTGACGATGGATGCGAGGCCGTCTCCGTTGTCGTTGAAGAAGGTGGGGAGCGGACGGTCCGAGGTTAGCACGGTGAGCGGATTGCTCGGACTCGGAGGCGGAGAAGATCAGAGAAGCTCGTTGCCGTCGCCGTCATCGTCGGCGTCGTCGTCGATGTTTGAGTATTTCGGATGGGTGTATCATTTGGGCGTGAACTCCATTGGCCACGAGTACTGCCACCTCCGGTTTCTCTTCATCCGCGGCAAGTACGTCGAGATGTACAAGCGAGACCCCCACGAGAACCCCGGCATTGTGAGCTCCCCCTCCTCCTCCTGCCCCCTATTCAATTTCTAACTTTTCAACTAAATTAAAAATTAAAAATTTGTCTTTTCAATTTATTAATTTTACGTTCAATTTCTATCTGTTTTGGAGCAGAAACCGATTCGTAGAGGCGTCGTGGGCCCCACACTCATGCTGGAGGAGGTCGGGCGTCGGAAGGTCTACTACGGCGTAAGTCGTCCTCTGTATAATGTTTTAAGTGATTGGATGCAATGTCATTGTTTGATAATTATTTTTTAGCATTTCAAGTTTCAGGTGATTGTTGCTGTGGATGCTGAATCGTTGCTGTTGTTGTCATGTATCTGATGTTTCTCTTTTTTCCAGGACGTTTATGTTCTTCGTTTTTTCAATCGTTTGGAGGAATCGAAAAAGGGAGAAGTAAGTATTGGTGCCATATTCATTATCCGATTCTGCAGCTGAATGCTAGAACATGTGAATGTGCTTGTTTTAAATTTTCACATATACCTGCTTTTATGTGTGTGTATTCTCCTAACATTGGATCCCGAATTCATCTGATTTTTCCTCATCCGCAATCTCTGTATTTTCAAGTTTTGACATTTCTTTGTTCGTCTTTCTTACTTTCATGAATTTTCATATATTGAATTGATGATCTTGGCAAGTTTTTGGTAGTATAGAAACCGTTTCTCATACCATGTGGTATCTGTACAGTCAATTTTGAATCAATTCTCCTAATGTATCACATTTGGGTTTCCTTTCTCTTATTTTAATCAGATGACTGATGGTTAACTGGTCTTTTGTAGATTGCTTGTGCTACCGCTGGAGAAGCCCAAAAATGGCTGGAGGCCTTTGATCAAGCCAAGCAACAGGTACATGAATTTTCTCACCAAAAATGTCCATAGAAAACAGTTAAAAGGCAGAACTTTTCCTTGTAGAGAGTGTTCTTACCTTGCAAATTGAACATTTTGGTGGTCCTTGTGACATAGAGCCATTACTTTTTTGTCCAAACATTTGAAACTGTAAATTGGAAGGAGATTCAGAATTGCATATTTCATCCAGTCCATTGTTGTGTTTAACCCTGGAACTCTGCTTCTCACAGGCTGAGTTTGAGCTGTCAAGAGGAGGTAGTGCCAGAAACAAACTGAATATGGAGACCGAGTACGCTTATATTTCCTAGATGCACTTGCATAAGTACTTGATATAAGATTGATTCTGTTCACTGTGCATATCATATTTTCCATAAATGATATTATTTTTATGTTAATGTTGACTCAAAACTTTTAAATGTGGAAGGCTCAATCTTGATGTCCATCGACCTAGAGTAAGGCGCTATGCAAGTGGATTGAAAAAGCTTATAAGGATTGGGCAAGGTAAGGCGGAATGTGAATGGCTTCTTCTAAATGTTTACAATGGGACTACTTGGTTCAGGGCCCCAAACATGAGTCATTGGTCACATTTTCAGTTGACAATTATCGAAATCTATCTTCCCATTACAGGACCAGAGACGCTTTTGTGCCAATCCTCAAGCTTGGGTGCAAATGGTAGCACGGATGGATACTTTGAGAGGGACATTGGTGATGCAGTTGAGGCATATAAATGGAAATGTGTGCGAACAATTAATGGTATTCTTCTCTTAGCCTTTTATTATCTACTTGATAGTTCATAGACGTCAGCGGACAAATAATTTTTATCCCTCTACTAAATCCTTAAGACCACACTTTGGTCATTTTCAATCAGCTATGCAATCTTTAACTTTATTTTCTTCATACATTCTCTCTTTTGGTTTCAGGTGTTAGAATATTTGAAGATGTTGCTAACTCTGAGGTATGCTATCTAATTGTAGATTAATACATGCATTTGTGTCTGTGTCTGTGTCTGTGTCTGTGCCTGCATGTAAGATAATGTATCTTTATTTCCACTTTTGGCAGAGTGGTAAAGGTGTTATTGTCAAGGCTGTTGCTGTTATCGATGCAAGTGCAGATACTGCTTTCGAAGTGCTTTTAAACCTTGAACGACATCAGAGATATGAGTAAATTGTCTTACTCTTACATGGTAGGATTATCATTACAGTACTTCTCTCTCTAATAGTTTTCTTTTCAGGTGGGATATGCTGACAGGTGACTTGGAGCTGTTAGATTCTTATGATGGGCACCTTGACGTTGTATATGGGACATTTGATCCTAGGTATCTTACTCGGTAATGATGTTAGACGTGACTACTTCTGCCACTCTTCAACCAATATCTTATCCTTAATCTGTGCTTTGATTTACTTCACCTTGCAGTGCATTTGTTAATAGAAAATAGCTTCTTTACATAATAAAGTCAATCTGCATTCTGTTTGTTGTTCATCATCGTGAGATATTAATTTGTAACTTAATTGTACAGGTGGCATTCTAAGAGAGATTTTATCTTTTCTAGGCAATGGTTTCGCGGACAAGACGGAACATATAGTAAGACGATATAACTTTCAGCAGTATCAATATAGCTTCAGTTTGTGGTGTAGGGAGTAGAGCTTAACAATTTTGCCTTGCTATTTGGCTGATATCATTTGGTGCTCTTAATGCAGCAATTTTGCATTTCCCTGCTGTTCATAAGAAGAAGCCTCCAAGATCCGGATATCGACGTACAAAAATAAATCGTAAGAGATTTCATCTGCTTTATAAGAAACTGATAGTTAATCAAGCTTGCTAACACAGATATGGATCACTTTCTGAGGTTTTATTAAACCCTACAAATTTTCAGATGAATTCACCGTCTTCCGAGCACAGATTTGTACCCCTGAATTGTATTTTATTTCAATCTGATGATAGTTGGTTTCATATATTCTCATTAATGAAGTTGAATTTCTGATATTTGAAAGTCTTTTCTTCGTTTAGTTGTTTTTATTTTATTTTTTTTTATGTTTTTAATTTGTATTGCAGCATCGACTTGGGAGATTAGAAATTTGAACACATCCATGGGTTCAAATACTCCAAGATGTCTTGTCACTCAAATGTTGGAGATAAATTCCGCGGGCTGGTGCAGATGGAAGAAAAATCACTGCTCAAAGTTTGAAAAGAGTGTACCCTATGCATTGTTGTGCCAAGTAGGAGGTTGGGAAATTATTTTACATTTTAAATTTGTTTTAAATTTATAATCCGAGTGTTTTATGCTCAAAGAAGCTTTTTCTGAGAATTGAGAAGTGTCAATTAAACTGGCTTCCAAACACAAGAGATGTCTCAAGTATGTCGTAAATGGTTTATTGCAGAGGCAGTTATATTTCCGTTGTTTTTGTAATTATTCAGGTTTGAAGGAATATATTGGAGCAAATCCTGCACTCAAATTTGAAACTTCCACTACAGTTATTCAATCGAAAGTATCTGAAGTTTCCGTTTCCACTGCTGAATTTGAAGAGTCAGAAGTCAAGGATGAGTTTTATGATGCAATGTCTGCAGACTCTTCATCTTCTGACGAAGAACTTGACCAGAAGGTTTTCCTTTTTTCAGTTTACTTTATCTTGGAATGGAGCACTGCTGGTGGTCCAAATGAATGCAGCTCAATTTTTTTATAGATGTACGATTTTGAATTCCAATTATTAATATTCTCCCCCTACAATTTGCAGGATGCAAAATTGAGCTTGAAGCGAACCTCAGGTATCCTTACTTCTTAGTACTTTTAATTAGGCATTGGCCTCTTATGTTACTATAAATTACCATCATCTTAAGTTTCAAGAGTGAATCTATAAAGCGTTTTACTTATCCAAGAACAAAAATGACATAAATACATATTCAGAGACTGGTCTGTAACTATTGTTTCACCCTTTCAAAAAGTTATCAGTGCTTAAAGCATAACTAATTCTGGATACAGCTGCAGATGCTACTAATAAGGAACTGGATTCCGAAGTGGCTCCTGTCATGATTGATACAAGCCAGTTACATGGTACCTTGCGCACCGGGAAGGATGACACTGACACAAACTGTTGGACATCTCCAAGCGGTACGGGATTTATGATCAGGGGAAAGAACTACCTAAAGGACAATTCTAAGGTGGGTTTGACTATGCTTTGAATTAATTTGACTGAAAACTTCCAGTCATATTCTCATGATTATTTCTGGCTTGCTCTTTCCAGGTAATGGGAGGAGATCCCCTTCTCAAGCTCATAGGAGTAGATTGGTTCAAAGTTGATAAAACTATAGATAGGATTGCACTCCATCCACGGAGTCTTCTTCAGGTAGAGTTAGTTTTTGATGTTCGAATTGCTTATATATTGATAACGTCAATTGGTTACTTATGATTTCTGTGTCTAAGCATGCTCTTCTTGATTACAGTCAGAGGCTGGGAAGAAGCTTCCATTTGTACTAGTCATTAATCTCCAGGTACGTGCACTAGGGCCTCCCTACAACAGCAGAATAGGAAATGAAATATCGTTGTTCTGTTTAGCTACTCTTACTATCATTCTAAGGAGTGGCTTTATGATATGTCGTTTTTCTGTTTCAGGTTCCCGCAAAACCAAACTATAGTTTGGCACTTTACTATGCTGCTGACAGACCTGCAAAGCCAAATTCTTTGTTTGCTCAATTTGTGGATGGGACTGACATGTTTCGCGATGCAAGATTTAAATTAATTCCTAGTATTGTCGAGGTATGTTGTGCTTTATGTCTGAAGTATGTATTACCCAAAGGCATGTATGTGTTCTGCGTTGATGGGAAAATTAACTAATGGTTATCTGCTGCTACAGGGATATTGGATGGTCAAGCGTGCTGTTGGAACAAAAGCGTGCCTATTGGGGAAAGCTGTGACTTGCAAGTATTTCAGACAAGACAATTTTCTTGAGGTAATTCTATTCGCGTTCATAACTATGTGTAATCTGACATTTTCCAAAAGCAAATTTTCTACGATACAAGCGGAGACAGACTTGCTGTGTACCATAGACACAAAGTTTAGAACTAAACTGTTATGCCAATCATTATTAACCTTTCCTGATTGCTTATGGCATCTTTTAATGAAATATAATCTTGTATTTTGCAGATTGATGTGGATATTGGATCATCATCCGTAGCGAGGAGTGTCATTGGACTTGTCCTCGGTTATGTCACGAGCATAGTGGTTGACCTTGCAATTTTGATAGAGGTCCGTGGCTTTATGATCTGTTGTATTCTTTAGCACAGTATTAACAAAGCATTCAGGAATATATTTCAACACCTTACGTTGTTTGCAGGGAAAAGAGGAGGCGGAGCTGCCCGAGTACATACTCGGGACTGTTCGGCTGAATCGTCTTAGGCTCGACTCTGCTGTTCATTTGAAGGTTTGATGTTGCTGTATTTCGACCTCCGTCAAAGCAATCGCTTTGACGGGGTCGTTATTTTTCCACTCTTTATAAGTGCAGACCTTCACCAGGGGTTTTGTTTCCGTTACAGTCTAATGTAAAATAAAAACATTTAATCGACTGTCTCCACAGCTTATATATAAAAGGAATGCAAAGATGGATGGCCGTTGTCTTCTTCTTCCGTTTGATTTCTTTATCCGTATTCAAATGTAGTTTAAGTATGTAGGCTTGTTATGCTACAACTTTTAAATTCGACATGGATTTTCCCATTTGTTTTGATGTCCTCATCTTTTCGTTTTTCTTTCTCTTTATTTATTTTCTTGACGCGTACAAACCTTCGTTGTTGCAATACTTAGGTACTAATCAGTTAGGACCTCAAACCACAAATGTTTAAAATTTCTTCAATGTGTCTATATATGCGTAAAATATCAGACAAATAAGATAAAGATATGGATAGGCAGGGGTGGAGTTTAAATATTAACTTATATCGGAGAAATTCTTAAATTTCGGTTAAAATTAATAGATTTTGTCAATATTTCTGACATATCGATTACATATGGACAAACTGCCATATGACATTAAAGTTTCAATTTTAATTTTCACGTTTTTGAGCAAATTTGCATTATTTTTATTGATTACAACTGATCTTGATATATTATCAATATATTTATCGATATTTCCACAAATTTATATTTTAATATTTTTACCGATATCAATATTTTAAACATTGGTCAGGACCAGAGTATTGTCATTAAGAAAAGTCTCTTGTTTAAATCATCGATAAATATGTTGTTATACTGTTAATCTGAAAGAACCAAAAGGTGAAAAGAGGGACCCTTTCTTCAATCACTTTATTAACTCTTCAACCACTCTATCTTTTGCTTTTTTGAATGTGTTATGCATACTTTATGCATGATTAACGTCTTTTTTCACAGAATGTAATCCTTTCATATTTATTAGTTTCCGCACCACTATTACTTTGACTAATTGTCCCCCCAATTGCATATCTTTTAACTCTCCATTACTCTAAATTTCAGAAGATTAACTTTCATGTCACAAATACATCGTCATTTTATCATTCTATGTTATTGATACAATAACATGTGAATCACTGACATATAACATCAAAGTGATAGCTTATACGTACCACAAAAGTTATAAATCAAACCTAACTTATCAACAGATTAGCCATATCCACATATCTTTATATCATTGATATAGAACATCAAAGTAATCGTGCACCCGTATCAAAAAAAATCTTAAATCAGATCTAACTTATCCACAAGTTGCCCCACATAGGAAGAATGTGGTGAAAAGAATTTCCAAGATAAATCTAAAGCTATGTATGTTTAATTGTACTTATAAAGAGGTATCAAATCAAAGCATAAACTCCTACTCTTTTGAGACCCTAATGGGAATCCAAGTAAGGTAAATTCCTTTTCCTTAAAAGTTGTGTTGTTCTCAGCTGCACACGGCCAAATCCAATTCAAATCAAATCCCTCGGTGCCGTCTGTGCCTTTCAATTTCAAACCTGTCGTTGGGAAACTTCTCTGGTAGTTTCTCTTACCAACATCTTCTCTGCTCGAAGTTGAGTCCGGTCCGGAGAGATTCTTACATGTAAGTAAAGCTGTATCACAATCTGTTCGTCCCTAAACGAGACAAAGAGAAAGGGGATACATATTGCACCCAAGTTTTTCTCAATTCTTGGTGAATGAACTACTCAAAAGATAACAATCTTGTAATGTAAAGTGTGTCAACTTTTTTAAGGAGATTTTCTACGGTACTCATGACATTGAAAAGAGATGTCAAGGATGATTTTTATCGTTATATCTTTGTTTGAAAAAACAAAATTCACTTTTCAACCGTTAAAACACCTGCAATATTTTTGCTTTATAAGTACTACATTTATAAAAGAAAGTCACGAAATTTCTCAGGGTTTTTATTGGCACGCTGGCCTTGTGAAGAATTGCACTGCATTGGAGGTCCCTCTTGTGATAGCGGTGATGTCAAACCCAAAACTTGAACAGCTCGACATGGTTTCCCTTGAATCAAGCAAGAGAGTTGCATGACGCTAAAGGTATAATTTACGTACAATTTGGACGTTAAAGTTAACGGTATTATAAATTTATCACTGAATGTCCTATGAGTAAGATAAGATACATGACGTCACATAATAAGCTTGACATGTTGTTCTACCTTAGCATCTTAATTGCATGGAATGAAAGTTTCTTTCAAAGTGTATAGTCCAGATTTTTCCATTTAATTTATAAAATTAAGTAAAAAATTAATAGGATTTTCATGTATATTAATCATATTCTAAACTAAAAATCACATTGTTAAATAAAAAAATTATTATAAAATTAATTTAAAATACCACCGTAATAACATAACCGTTGCAGGTTTCTTTCCAAAAACTTGCATCACACGTTGAGGGCTCAAGAATTTACTCACTGAGTTACCGTTAAGGTCAAGGTTCAAAAATGGACTGTAAACTGTAGTACCTTTTTACCCGTCCTTGAGGGACACAAAAGCCTGGGGGCCTGGGGCTCATCATAAATTAAGAAAAAGGTCACTTCTTTTGTCAGCAACCTTGTCTTTTACGCTGCCCCTGCAAATGTCATCAAATGAATCCTCACTCAGATTTGTTGTTCTCGTTGAGATTTTAATCGTTAGATCTTAATTTTTATATTTAGAGAAGTTAATGCCCGCAAGATTCATATAATTTTATACATTATTGTAGAGTATTGAATGGTATGTCATTTAGCGTATTTCGATTTAATTGGCGTTCAACTGTGTCTAAGAGTTCTAAGAAATAAAATAGACTTTAGTTAAGAAAATTGTTATTTGCACTTAAAAAATTTAATTTTACGCACTAAACATTTTATGTTAAAAAAAAAAAAAAAAGCTCTTCTAAAGAGTGCACATTCGATTTTTATATGATTAAAAAGTGAATGCCTCGACTCTTCGTATAGCTCTCTAAGCGTAAGGCTACACTATTGTGGAGTATTAAATATTCTTCTCCATCGAATTTTCAGATACAATTCAACCCTTGTTTCTTTTCCATGACTTTAATTGTTATGTGAGAGAAAAATAACTTTTACACTATCATTTTTCAATTTAAAAAAAAAAGGAAATCAAACTGCTCTGACTAACTGAACTAACTTAATATCGATTTCACATTTTCTAAATTCATTGTAGTAAGCAATTCCAAGCGAAAGAGACGATACAAAAGTACAGCTTTACTATTTTGAATGATTTCGATAATATGTCCCCACGGCGCGCAAATTCCAATTTAGAAATTCATTCAGTCCCCTGCTTTCTACTTGATCTGCCTCTCCTCCATCTTTTTATTGGATTCTTTCTAATCAACAGAAAAAAAAGGAGATGCCCTCTCAACTTTTTATATCAAAGCTTTATTCCTAAATGGCCAGCACCATTTTAACACCTTCAGGCTCAAGGGTCCCCTGTTACTCCCAAAAGCAACCCAATTATATTCTCATTTCAATTAATCATGCATAAAGTCATTCCTTTTCCTTTTTTGGACTCACATCCAAATGTTTTTGTAACAGTATTTTAAGTCAATTACGCTTAAAAATGTGTTTTAGTTTGTTTTTTTTTTTTTTTTGGTATTGTAATATGTAATGATTTAAAATTTTGTCAAACTGACTTCGTTGAACAAGAACTTCTTTGAGATATTACAGGCTGCGGTATTATAAAATTGTAATTTTGTACATCGGAAGCATCAATTTTGTTATTAATAAACTAGGACACATAGGGAATAAAAAACTGATAGAAAAGAAATCGATTAGTTAATCATCAAAGTTTCATTTATTCAATGATCAGAAAAGTTAATCAAAAAACAAAGAGGAACGAATACTTCCTTATGTTAGTGTCTGTATTTAGCAAAAAAAACATGATAATGGACGCGCAATAGTTTGAGAGGACGATCGAGTACCTTATTATGCCTCTATTCAAATATCTTAAATTAATTACGCACAATTACACTTTTAATATTCTCATATACTAAACTAATTTTGAATTTTGTTTCACCCAAGAAAAGTAAAATAAAAGGAAAATTAATAAAAATAATTTAAAAACTTTGAATTTTAATCATAATAAAAAAAATTATTGTAAATAAATAGTACCCGAAGTAAATTTTTAAAATTAAAATGTCATTTTTCGGTAAATGAAAAGTAAATATTTCATTAAAACTTCCAAAAATAAATTATTTCCCTTTTCCTTCTTTTGGTAGTTCCCATGCATTTCTAGCTCCAACCCTCACACAAAAACAAATGGATTTCCATATAATCATCTGACACATTTTTCTTTCCATTCGGGCATCCAGAATTGTCCCTTTCTCTCTCAGTCATCCCCCAACTGCAAGTTCCAATGGAGAATTTCCACTCCTCCTTCTACTTCAACCTTCTCCTCCCTCTTCTCTTCCTCTACGCGGCGGTTTCCGCCGTCGATATCTACTCAGACACCCTCCTGAGCTTAAAATCCGAGCTCGCAGACGTCAATGGCAGCTTGAAAGATTGGATTCTCCCTTCTGCAGAAAACCCACCTGGCAAAATCCACGCATGTTCTTGGTCCGGCGTCAAATGCAACACCAACAACTCCGCCGTCACTGGCATAGACCTCTCCATGAAGAGTCTCGCCGGTGAAATTTCCGGCAACCAATTCGCCGTCTTCACCGACCTTGTGTCACTCAACCTCAGTTACAACTCGTTCTCCGGTCACCTCCCCGCCGGAATTTTCAACCTCACCAACCTCACAACATTAGACATCAGCAGAAACAACTTCTCCGGCCACTTCCCCGTCGGAGTCTCAGCCCTTCAAAACCTCATTGTTCTCGACGCATTCAGCAACAGCTTTTCCGGGTCGCTCCCCGCCGAAATTTCAGAGCTTCAGAACCTCAAAATCCTCAATTTAGCCGGAAGCTACTTCCGGGGACCGATCCCGTTGGAATACGGCGCTTTCCGCCGCCTCGAGTTTATTCATCTCGCCGGGAATTTGATCACCGGAAGCATTCCGCCGGAACTGGGGAAGCTGAAAACAGTGACGCACATGGAAATCGGCTACAATTATTACCACGGAAGCATTCCGTGGCAATTGGGGAACATGACGGAACTCCAGTATCTCGACATTGCCTATGCAAATCTCTCCGGCGCCATCCCAAAATCCCTCGGGGATCTCAACAATCTCGAATCCCTCTTCCTCTTCAGAAACCAGCTGTCTGGGTCGATTCCGGCGGAGCTCAGCAACATCAGAGCTCTCCAAAGCTTGGATCTTTCCGACAATCTGATTTCTGGGTCGATCCCAGAAACCTTTTCGGAGCTGAAAAACCTTAAACTCCTCAGCCTTTTTTACAACGAGATGGCCGGCGAAGTTCCCGACGGAATTGCAGAGCTTCCATCGCTGGAGACGCTGCTTTTGTGGAACAATTACTTCTCCGGCAACCTTCCCCGGAACTTGGGGAGAAACTCGATGCTCGGGTGGGTGGATGTCTCCACAAACAACCTCAGCGGTGGCGTTCCACGGGATATCTGTGCAAATGGCCAGCTCTTTAAGCTGATGCTGTTTTCGAACAACTTCACTGGCGGCCTCTCCACTTCTCTGTCAAACTGTTCGTCTCTGGTTCGTCTTCGACTCGAAGATAACATGTTTTCAGGTGAGATTCCATTGAAATTCAGCAGTCTGACTGATATCACATATGTTGATTTATCTGGGAACAATTTTAGTGGTGGGATTCCAATGGATATTTCAAAAGCTCAAAAGCTTGAGTACTTCAATTTGTCTAGAAATCCAGAATTAGGAGGCACAGTTCCTGCAGAAATGTGGGAATTGCCAAATCTCACAATTTTTCGGCTTCCTCCTGTGGTTTGATTGGCAACGTTCCTTCATTTGAAAACTGCAGATCGATATATGTTGTTGAATTGAGCAAGAACAGTTTGGAAGGTACTGTTTCGGAAAGTATTTCTAAGTGCCAGGCTCTTGAGAGGATTGATTTAGGAAGCAATAATTTATCCGGTCGTATACCTGAGGAGCTTGCAAGTCTTCCTGCTCTTGGTGTTCTTGACCTGTCACACAATAGCTTCGATGGATCAATACCTAAAAAGTTTGGTTCTTCTTCGACCTTGGTACTTCTAAATGTGTCTTACAATGATGTTTCCGGAATTATTCCATCTGGAAAGGTATTTAGAACAATGGAACAAAGTGCGTTTGTTGGGAATCCGAAACTTTGTGGAGAGCCTCTGAGATCATGTCCTGGTTCAGTTGCTATATTTGGAAGCAGAGGCGTCGGGAAGCTTTTATGGATTCTGCTACTGTGCGCTGTAGTAGTTATGTTTGTTACTCTGTCGGTTATGGGGATATTTTATTTCCGTAGAGAAAGCAAAGGCCAATGGAAGATGATCTCGTTTGATGGACTTCCTCAATTCACAGCAAATGATGTGTTGAAGAGCTTCAGTTCCACAGAATCCATGGATGCATTACCGCCTCTGTCAGCTTCGGTAAGCAAAGCTGTTCTGCCGACGGGAATCACAGTTTCTGTGAAGAAGATTGAATGGGGAGCAAAGAGAATGAGAGTTATGTTGGAATTCGTAACACAAATAGGGAATGCAAGGCATAAGAATTTAATTCGATTGCTCGGAGTTTGCTACAACAATCAACTGGCTTATCTCTTGTACGAGTACTTGCCCAACGGAAACTTGGCTGAAAAGATAAGTGTGAAAAGGGAATGGGCAGCCAAGTACAAAATTGTCATCGGCGTTGCAAAGGGATTGCACTTCCTTCACCACGAATGTTATCCTGCAATTGCACATGGAGATCTGAGGTCAGGAATATAGTGTTTGACGAAAACATGGAACCTTGTCTGACAGAATTCGGGTTCAAGCATCTGCTCGAGTTGAACAAAGATTCGTTTGCAGCAGCAACTTCCACCTGGGATGCAGGTATGCGTAACAAAATATGTTCTTTCATGTGGTAGAGATGTTTTTGTCGTGTTGTTTTAAAAAGTTTTAATCCGCCACGCCAAACATATAATTTAAGCCTTTACATCACCAGTTCTATAACAAAACTAGAAATATACCTGAACAACCGTAAGTACTTAAGCCTTAGAAATGTTGGGAAAGGTACAGAATTCCTGCAAAACTCAAAAACCTTATACAATAAAGAGAAGCTGTACAAAAATGTAGATGGTTTGAAAGGGAATTGTCAGAAGAATTTTATTTCTTTCGTGTACTAGCCTCGATCGGTTCTATAATTGCTCATCTCCTTCCATTGGACAGGTGATAACATCAGTGTCACAAAAGAGGAGCTATGCAGGGATGTATACAGCTTTGGGGAGATCATGCTGGAGATTCTAAGCCGCGGCAGGTTGACAAATTCTGGCGCAAGTATGCATAGCAAGTCAAGAGAAGTTGTTCTGCGGGAAATCTACAACGAGAACGAAGCTGGTTCCAACATTTCACTGCAAGAAGAGATAAAACTGGTAGTTGAGGTTGCTATGCTTTGCACCAGGAGTAGGCCATCCGATCGACCATCCATGGAAAGTGCATTGAAGCTTTTATCCGAGTCGAAAATCCAGATGAAAAACAACCCAACTTTTGAAGCAGCAGGGTGAAGAATTTAGATGCAGATTACCTTAAAAATCCAAAGATATATATACAAGATGCAGTACTTTACTGGTAAGAGTGAGCTGTTTGTACTTGTAGTCAGTCAATCAATCAATTTGTTTATAGCTTGTTGTTTGTATCATAAGAATTAGAAAAATGCTTTTGTTGTATAATAGTGCCATGTACTGATATAATATAAGTTTGTGTACCAGTTTTCTCCGACTCCAATTTTCATTAATGGTTCGGGATACCGTTGTGCCGGTATTCTTGGTTAATCACGCATTGTTATGCGTTTTAACATTCATGCGATACTATTGGCCTGGGATACCGCCATAGTGATCTCCGAAAGTTCATTTTCACTCCAGGGTGAAAAATACGGATAACAAAATGTGTATATAAATGTGTATTATACGCAAATTTACTAACAAAACGAATAAATATTAACATTAAATTAGACTCTTACAATGACAAAGGAAAATGTCTACACAAACTTTCCATGAAATTGCTTCAAATATTAACTCAATCTCAAAATCTCAGCGTGCAAAGCATCAACAACTCCTTGAAAGCTACCAAACTGAGAACTCACCAAATCAACTCCAACTCCAAGCATCTGAGCCCCGGCTGCCGTGATGGGCCCATGGGCCGCCACCAGCATTTTGGGGCACCTCCTTTTGGCGGTCTCCCAGTCCAGCCCAAACTCTTTGAAGCTCTTTAGCAACCCCTCCACCTCCGCCGTGCTCGTAAACACAATCGCATCCAACGCTTCATCTTCGATCTTCTCCACCACTTCCTCGGCACAGCCCGGGCCGGCCCATCGCGTCTCGTACGCGTTTACCCTAACTGGAACCCAATGCTTGGCCTCCAAGTCCCGAAGAAAATGTGGGACCACGGGAGGCTCGACCAGTCCCACTACTAGCGGGACTGGACACAACACCCTTCGACCGCGCCCGTCTTCGAGCGATTGGACCAATGCGTTCGGGGTCGCGGTCAAAGGCACTAAAATTCTGATTCGGTCAGGATTGGGACAGAGCCTGTGGACGAAACTGTCGTCTATGAGCTCGGAGTCCTTTCCCAGCGCGGCGACCGTGAATACGTCCCCGTGCGGGGAGAGGAGAGGGTGGGGGACGTCTGCGGCGGCGGATGAGAACGCGGCGACGGCTGTGCGTGAAGGGAAGGCGACGGCGGAGAAGAGATCGAGGGAAGGGGGTGAGAGGTGGGGTTTGAGGGCGGCTACGGTGGACGGTGTGGGCTGAACGATGAGTGTGGGGGCGGAGAGGGGTTTGAAGCCTTTGAGGGTGAGGAGGTGGGCCAGCCTGGCGGCGTAGTTTGGAGGGGTGGTGAATGCGACGGTGGGGATGCTGCCACTGCCATGCGCGGCGGCCATTTTGGGAAGCTATAGTTTAACACGTTATTGTTAAATCCATTTTTTTAGCCCAAAGGCAACGTGATAGGGATGATAGAAGCCCAGACCCAATGTAAGCTGGTACCCGACCCAACTAAACTAGGATCATAATTTTTTAATTTTTTCATGGACAGTCATTTTCATAAATTCAGTTTTATTTCTCTCACATTTTATTAATTTTATTCATTTACCTTTGTCAATTCATCCAATTCGACGGTCATAACCTAAGAAGAGAGTGTTAGAGGTAAAAATGGATAGCACCTTTTTTTTATTAGGGGTAAATACAGTTTGAACTGGAACATATTCTCATAATATTTTGCATTGAACATTTGTGAAACGATAAGGAGACTTTCTCAAAGTAAAACTCTCTATAAACTTCACCTCATATTTAGTACAATATTTTTCAATATTGACACATAAATTATACCAAAATATAAAGTGATGTAAAATTCATAAAGAGCCGTATTTTTCAGAATGTCCTTATCATTTCTCTTGAACATTTATTACAAGAATGCTTGGTGAGATGATAATTTACCACACCTTACACCTACTCGTTCACGTTGAGTGTTCAATTACTATACCTCGCATATATTTATTACCAAACGACACTTTCTTCACACATTATTAATCTTCTCACACGTTAATTAGGCAATAAATATTACTTTATTTATGCTTACATTCATCTTCTCACGTGTTTACACAATTTTCCTCTCACGTGCTAATTTGGCAATAAAAAAAATAATTTTCTTTATATGTTGCATTCATCTTCTCACGTGCTAATTAGGTGATTAAAGATAAGTTACTTTCTTTACACATTACTTTTATCTTCTCATGTGCGGTTCATCCTTTCATGTGCTAATGGCAATACAAGAAATCATTTTATTTACACATTACATTCATCTTTTCACGTGCTCACATCTGTTCCATCTCACTTGCTAATTAGGTGATTAAACAAAATGTACTTTATTTACACATTCCTTTCATATTCCCATGTGCTCACATTAATTCTCTCACGTGCAAATTTGGTGATAAAAAATTACTTTCTTTATGCATTACATTCATCTTTTCACGTGCCCATATTCGTTCCCTCTCGCGTGCTAATTAGGTGATTAAAGAAAAGTTACTTTCTTTACACATTCCTTTCACCTTCCCACGTGCTCACATTCATCCTTTCACGTGCTAATTTGGCGGTAAAAATTACTTTCTTTACTCATTACATTCATCTTCTTATGTGCCCATATTCGTTCCATCTATTGTACTAAATAGGTGATATTAAAAAAAGTTAATTTCTTTACATTCCTTTCATCTTCCCACGTGCTCAAATTCATCCTCTCACATGCTAATTTGGCAATAAAAAGTTACTTTCTTTATACATTACACTTATCTTCTCACGTGCCCACAATCGTTCCCTCTCACGTGCTAATTAGGTAATTAAATAAAGGTTACTTTCTTTACACGTTACTTTTATCTTCCTACGTGCTCACATTCATCCTCTCACGTGCTAATTTGGTGATAGAAAAATTACTTTCTTTACACATTACATTGATCTTCTCACGTGCTCTCATATGTACCCTCTCACATGGTAATTAAAGAAAAGTTACTTTACATACACATTAAGTTCATATTCTCACGTTCATGCTATCTCATGTGCAAAATAGGTGATTCAATAATCGCGAGATATACACACTTTCTATACGCATCTCATTCATCCTTTCACGTGCTCACATTTGTTATCTTACGTGTTGGTTAGTGTCATGCCCAGTACCAGGGGTCGGTAATAAAAACTCGAACCTGAATCTGAAACGTGAGTTCAAAACTAAATAATTAAAAGGAAATTGAAACGGTTTGGAAAATAAATTTCCTCTTATAAAATCTCATGATACTTATACATATCAAGAACTCTTTACAATTCTATAGTAAATAGATGAATAAACATTATATTCTTACATCTAATCCGATCTCATCTTGCATACCCTCTTGAATGTCTAGTTTGTAAACCTACATAACAATAGAGGGGTGAGCTTCAATAGCTTAGTAGGGACATAACCTTACCATGGTAAATTGACAATACTAAATTAAGTGCCATGAAATCATATAGCAAAATATCAAATAATTATTGATAACAATGCATGAATGCAATGCAACCTCTTCGGCTACCCCCGTTAAATTATATAATAAAACACGCGGACATGCACGTCCTATACCATGCATTTTACCACTGTAGTGGTGGTTTGAATGTTCTATTATAGAAACTAACCCCTATATGATATCCCAAGTTCATAAACCTCATCTGTTAGTTATCTTATCTAATTCATTGATCTCCAGCCCAAATCACCTACATCGACAATTTATCCCGCCGATATCCTATTCTAATGTGCACACTAGGCTCGCCTGGAACTGGTTTCACAATGATAGATTCAACTACATAAAAGATCTTTTCCAACTACCCTCATTTTCCAAATTCTAATCTTAACATTGAAGTTCCAACCACATCGCAGAACATGAGCGGTGCACAAATAATGTAATTTCATCCTTCGCATGTATCACAATATATTCGACGAATAGTATTCCAGGAATAATTCCATAACCGATATCAAGTAAACACTTAATTGAAGTAATTAGCCAATTAATATCCAATCACATTAATCAAATAAAAAAGATCAAGAATATTATAACATTTTACGAAATTTAATCAAATCAATTTCCGTAAAGGTCTGCCTTATTTCCCCTACTTGGATTCCAAAGCTAAAACGAAGATCTACGTCACTACTGGAATAAATAAGCTCCACGTACTTATCCACGTCAATACCAAAATAGGTAAGTTCCATGTACTTGAGGAAACTCCTTGATCGCTCCTAACACCATGTATTTCTTCTAGGGCTGGTTCGGTATGGGATACTGAACCAAAAACCCTATCCCAATTCCCAAACCGAAGTTTTCGGGATTCTCAATTTCAAGACCGATCCTAAACCAAATTTTTGGGAATCTCAATTTTCGGGAATCCCAAAATAGTTTTGGGTTTTTGAGCTATTGGGCCGAATTTTCTATACAGAGTTGGGGTATGAATCTGCAAGCCTTATCTAAATCCTATTAAAAAAGCAAGATTGAGAGAGATAAGTAGCAGGACTGCAGGAGAAGAAAACGCAAGGACTTGTATGAATTTATAAGTTTATAACACAATTGGAAACAAGACTTTCTGAAGACCTAAAGATCTAATCCAAGTTCACATCACTACTAGGTTCTATGCAATTTTTTTTTTCCAAACACGACCACACGAATAGGTACCAGATGATGTTACCTATTACTGCAATTTATAAGGCCAGAAGAGCGCAATTCCACCTTGTTCCAATTGTAAAGCTTGATAAATAATGGGTAAATTACATAGTAACCCCTCAAGTTTGAGGTCTATTATAACTTCATACAAAACATTTCAATTTCATACCTCAAGTACTATTTTATTTCAATATAATACATACGTTAGATTTTCCATCCATGAATCTGTTAAATGTTGACGTGGTTGCCAAATGTGTGTCACGTGGCAAAAAAAATAATTAATTTTTTTTTTAAACCTAAATCTTCTAAATAAATTTATAATTAAAAAAAAAAAACCAAACCCCCCCCCCCCCCCCCCCAAAAAAAAACCCAACCTGCAACATGCAACCCGTAAGAAGAATAAGAAGAAGAGAAAAGAAAAACTCATCTTCATCTTCCCCGACCCCCCTTCCTTGCAACCCACCCCCCTTTCTTCCCCCCTCCCGTTTTTCCCAAACCCACTGCACCCATCCTCCATGTCCTCCTCCGCACCCACAGCACACCCACCCCCCCCCCCCCGGGCACCCACCTTTTTCACTCATCTACACACCCCACTCCTTAAATCCATACCCATTTGGGAAGATGGGATTTGGGTTGCAGGGAAAGGGAGATGGGTTTTTTTTTTTCTTTTCTTTTCTGGGTTGCAGGTAGTGTGGAGGGGGGCTTGAGTGAGGTGGGTCATGGGGTTGGGGGGCGCTACGGTAAGACGGTGAGGTTGGTCGCAGAGGGGGGGGTTAGGGGAGGGATAATTGATGGGGGTGGGATAGGGGATTTGGGGAAGGGATAATCGTTTAGGGGGGTGATGGGATATGGGTTTGGGGTTTTTTTTTTTTTTTTTTTTTTGGGTTGAAGATTCAGTTTTTTTTTTTTAAATAAATAAAAAAATTTTGCCACGTGGCACACATTTGGCAGCCGCGTAAGCATTTAACAGATTAATTGATGAATAATCTAACGGATGTATTATATTTATATAAAATAGTACTTGAGGTATGAAAGTGAAATGTTTTAAAGATATTGTATGGGGTTGTAATAAACCTCAAACCTGAGGGGTTACTATGTAATTTACCCATAAATAATTCATACGAAAAGAGTTCCTGCTGAAACAAATACAAATAATCAATTCACAAATTATATTGCAGGTGAAATATTTTACACATGTTAATGTTTTGTATATTTTGGTGCAACTGTAGGCTGTGAAAATTTGCCAAGGATTAACACTTCAAAGATGAGAGTACATTTCCAAAAAATCTAAATTTAATGGATTAAACTAAAAATCAACCAACATTTTCCTTTTCCATTATGCAAATTGAATTACTTCAGAGATGTGAGTAAAAATCAACCAACACTTTCCTTTTTCATTATGCAAAATTACAAATTATGCAGATAATTGAATTACTTCAAAGATGAGAGTACATCTAAACTAAAAATCAACACATAAATTGATTTACTTCAGACATCTAAACTAAAAATCAACCAACACTTCTAATAAAATCAAGAACAACGCCTAATCAAGACTAGATTTCACAAACCCTAAATTAATTCCAAAATTTACCTGATTTGGAGGAGAATCGATGCGTAGGGTACTAGAATCTGGATAAAGAAGTTGAGGGAGAGAGATCAGAGAGGTGAGCGGCACCGGTGGCTGTAGCTCTGCCTCTGTGCCGTGAAGG